AAAAAAAAATTAAAAAAAAAAAAAAAAAAAAAAAGGTACTACAGGATAATTGCACAACAACCAGCCTTAGAAGCTAAAGATCGTGTCTCCCTAAAGATTAAGACTTCCAATGAGCTTTGGAGAAATAAAGCTCTCTCCATCCCTTCCCTGAAAGATATTCACCTATATTCCTTTTTTTTTCTTCTTATATTTCCTTTGTTACCTTATTTTTTTTTTTAATTTATATTTACTTGTATTCTAGGGTACTAAACCAAAGACACTTCCCCATTCTCCCCTGGAGAGATTTGCTTAATGAATAATCTCTCACCTCTGCAGGGCAATTTCAGTCCCACCAGTGTTTCAGACTTAACAGCTACATGAGGCAACAAATTATTTTTTTTAATTTATTAATTCATTCAACAAGTATTTGCTGAGAGCCTACTAAGTTACGTGCCATGCACTTTCCTACAAAATATCTCAAACAAAAACTCCTGCCCTCATGGAGATTGTATTCTACAGAAGAAATAAAATACAAAATAAATACATAAAACACATAGCATAAAGTGTTGACAACTGTTATAAAGAAAAGGAAGGAAAAAGTAATAAGACATATAGGGCAGGTAGGCGATTTCAAACTGATGTTGGTTATCAAAGACTTTAAGCATGAAGTGATATTTGAGCCAGGACCTAAGGGAGAAAAGTAAGTAGGTCATATGGACATCTGGAGAAGAGCATTCCAGGCCAGGGAAACGCTAACTGCGAAGAACTTATTTAAAGATGAGCAAGAGGCCTGCATAGAAGAGACAACAGAAAAATCTGAGTTCAGAAAAAAGTTCTGCATTAGGGAGCGAGAGCAAGACCACAAAACACCAGCTCATTTTGAGGACTTGAGCCTGTACTCTGAAGTTACATGGGAAGTCACTGCAAGATTCTGAGAAAAGAAATTATACTAATATTAGTACAATATCACTAATTACTAATTGGCCTCTTACTAATATTCTGAGGCTAACATTATGAAAACAAAAGTAGTAGGAGGGAGCCTTGTTAGGAGTTACATAGAAGGAAAGAGAGGATGGTGTTGAACCAGAGTGAACCCCAAAAAGAAGTGGTGAGCAGTTGGTCAGATCTCATATTTTGAAGCCAACAGAATATGCTGAAAGATTGTTGGTGGGAAACAAAAGAAAAAGAGTCAAGGTTGGAGGTCTGGGCAAAAACAAGGATGGAAGTGCCACTTACAGATATGGGAAGGATTAATTTTTTTTTAACTAGGTTTCTACCGCTGCAATCTAAAAGAAGCCTGACAAATATAAAATTCATGCCAGAAATCAGGCACTACAATTGACAGCCCTGAACTGTGGAACTGAGTCAATAACAGAAAGTGAAGGGTATTTGGAATTCCTCTACTGTAGAATGAGAAGTCAGCAATCCTTAATAAGAAAAGCAACTGGTAAATTGGCACCTCTGGTAAAATCGGACTATGCAGCTACTAAGGATGGAACTATAGGATACTTAGTAAAAAATGTTGGGATGATAGTATATTGCCAACTGTGCAACAGTCTTCAGTAAGGTCATTCAAAAGAGAAGCACACTTTGAGTGGTCTTTATAAAAGAAAATCTTTTCAGTCTTTCATTGTAAATCCAAGATGGCTGATAATCTTATAATTTACAGGGATGAAAACCAAATATCCCTAAACTAAAATTAGAGCCTTTAACCACACAAAAACAAAATATGAGAAGCCCTTTTTTTAAAAAAAACGTTTATTTTTAATTTTTAAAATATCTCATGAGGCTCGAACAAACAATCCAAAGATCAAAACTTCAATGCTCTACCGACTAAGCCAGCCAGGTGCCCCAAAATATGAGAGAAGCCTAATGCTCCAGGCTCCTCCCCAAGCATCCTAGCAAAGAAGATATTTACCCATTATAAAGAACTACGCATTGTGAAATAGTCTGGGAGCAGGGACAAATCAGCTCTGCACTATTACCTAAAGAAGCTGCTCTCAATGGCTAGAAAGAGAAGCCAACAAGGAAATTGAGAAGCCTAGGATATTCGTGGTTTCTTAACCTCTGTGCTACTGTCATTTTGAACTGGAAATTCTCGTTGTTAGAGGCTATCCTATCCATTAGAGCATGTTTAACAGTGTTCTTGGGCTCTACCTACTAGTTGCTAGCAACATCTACCTACTTCCCCAGTCCCAGCCTTCCGTTATGACAACAAAGATATCTGCAGACATTGCCAAATGTACCCTGAGGTAAGAATTGTCCCATGTCGTAGAATCACTGGGTTACCGTGATGCACAAATTGTTCAGAGGCATACCAGAAGATGATCTGATTCATGGACTAGGATCAGACTTTGGGTATTTGGGAGAAGGTGATCAAATGAAAATAAACAAAACACTATGTTTATGAAGAGTTTTATTGCCTAAG